CATTTCAGCATCGAGAGGGGTAGGAAAAGTGGTGGAAGAGGAGGAGGAGGAGGAGGAGGCCTACGTGGAACAGCGGAGTGACATTGACATGGAGTCCTCTGGCGAGTACGAGCGAGAGGAGGTGGCAGTGCTAGTCGAAAGAGAACGCACTGGAGACACGAAACGAGCCCTTGAAGATGTCCGTACAAAGGTAATGAGTACGGTAAGCCTCTTACAAATCTGGCTTCAGGTCTTGCCATCGCTGGGCCATCACTTACCCTTTCATCTGGGTTCTCAAAGCCATCATTACTGATTTAGGGGTACATTCTTTTGTCTCTACCTCATCGCACTTCTACTTTTTTTCTTACTTGTCCTTTTGTCTTCTCACATAAATCTATTCCAGATTGTTTCTTTCCACCCTTCAGTAATCAGTGTTTTCATCGTTTACTTTTTGCCCATCTACAAAATGCTTCATTTATATACATCCACCTCGTGGATGGATCTTTTCATGTGTTAATCCTCTGGACTGCTGTCGGGTGGTCCGATTTGAATGCTGCGCTTCTCTCCTCCCCCTGCAGATGGCGGAAAAGGAGGGCTGCATTACAAACGTCAACGGCGTTTTGGTGTACACTTCCTTCACCTCCGAATATCGCAGTCTCTTCCAATCGAATGAGGATGACCTGAAGACTTTCGTGAGACAACTTTTGCACCAAGCGCATAATGAAAATTTTGATCAGGTTAATAGTTTTACGCTTGTTAAGTTGTCGGTTAAATATAGGCTTAAAAGCTTGCAGTTAACAATCCGGTTGTTTTTCTCTACATTTCAAGATAATTTTTTTGGTGGGAAAACGTCAAGAACCGACGTTTCGATTGTGCCAGGTTATTTGTGAAGAGGCGTCGCACCTCCTTGCCACAACGAAAGTGAGTTGATGCTAGTGACTATTTGTGAAGAAAATGTAAAGTCCTCTTTTCTAAATCCACTCTCTTGTCACCCCTTCAAAACCGAAGGAGTTGATCCACAACGTTCTTCTGATTGCCGAGAAGCTGGTTGGTCGACAGGAGTTGACTTTGCGTGGCATTGAGTTCCTCTTCTCACGGGACTGCAGATTGGTTGATGGTAAGAGGATTTCAGGGTACACCTTTTTGCCTCTCATTTCAAGTTGTAATTTTCGAAATTTAAGAGATCTCGGCATTTGGTGCTAGTAGAATTATAAAAATGGAGTCTAGCGCTTCTGTCTCTGAAACGACGAGTTGAGTAGACCATCAAAGTCTTTTAAATTTTACACCTGACCATCTATATGATTAGCCGCCTCCTCTCGGCTATCACAGTGGCGTCAATTGTGTCGGTCATTAAGTTTGCACGCTACCTACGACGATACCTCGGTGTAGCACTACTGATTTCTCTCGACAATTCCACCACACTGTTCTCCTCACTTTTCGCCCTCTTCATAGTTGCCCGTCATATCTTTCGGGCTTCTGCCCGGCTTGTGCTCATCTCATCGATACCCTCTTCGAGATATTGCTGAGGGCGTTTCACGGGGAATAACTTCAGGTAGTTTAGGACTAGCGTTGATTTTAGCTGTCAAAAGTTCAGCGTTGGACTGCAGAACCAGACTGACTTCATTTTCATTTCATTTGTCGGGGCTTTCCCCTCTGTAGTCCACGCCTTTAACCGTCGTGACAAGATTTATCGCTCAGCTGTAGAATTATGGGTAGTTGACCTTTGGGATTAGATTAGCTGAGACTTCTCCGACGGAACTTTACTTTACCTCCACTTAGGTGAAAGTTGAGGGCTCTGTTGCCCTGACCTGACCTGGAGATCAAGCTACCGAACGAAAATACAAGCCTCGCATCCTTAAATTCCACCTTAATAATCACACAGATAAACGAAATTCCTCCTTCTGTTCCAAGTTTTGGAGCACCCACCATCCGAATTTGCATTTTATTCGTATAATCATTCAGCCTTGGTGTACGGAAGATACTCCTAAATGGATGCACGTTCAATGATAATTCCAACTGTTTGAAATGGCGTTTGCCAGAGCATTGTCCCTTTTGGACTTTTCAAATTCATTATAAACACGAAAGAAGGCGCTCATCCGAGTGTTACGTTTCGTCCAACATTATTTATTTCCAATGCCTAACTCAACTTTATTACCTCGAAGGCGACTCTCCTAAGCCAACATTAAACTAAACTGCTGAATACATCAGTCTAATTCACTTGGATTTTTTTGTAGTCTCCGCCATAGCATTACTCAGTACCTGCACCTCGACCTCCCTCCTGTTTGAAAACCCCCTTCTGTGTGCTCTCAACTTCTACATCAATCCAAGGTCAGGTTGTGCTACTGATTGGGAATTAAGTAGAAGCCTATCATAATTGAAGTTACGTGATCTTTTTTCTACCCCTTTAGATTGAAATCTCTATCGTCCTCCTCCAAAGGTAAACTGTTGCTGATTAAGACTTTATGATGTTGGTTGCTACGATTCATTCAGGCTATATTTCTTATTTCCCCAGATCTTTCGGAAATTGTTCAATTCCAGCTGCTCATCATGTCGGCTGGCTTTACCCCTCAGGTTTGTAACAGATCACCACAAATATGGAATGTCTGTCCTTGCAAATAACTTTTCTCTTTTAACACCAGGAAATCATTAGTCTGTACAGACTACTGCTTTCAATCGCTGCAATTCGAACTCTAAAATACTTGAATTCCGGATGCTCCACTCATTGTGGGCGGCTTCAAACTCTCCCAGAAGATATCTATGCAAGCATTCAAAAGCACATACTTCGGGGCGAATCATTCAAATCGCCTCCACTATCATCTTTTACGGCAAATGATGGTACGTAAGGAGGACTAATTGTTGATTGAGAACTTACTTTTTAGTTGCACATCTGATTGGGGTTGATGAAAAGGCCTTCAACAATTTGATGTTTTCAAAAAGCACATGGGAGGAGCCAACTAGAAGAGGTCTCATTTCAAGGCAGTTCTGGCGCTACCTCCACCTTCGAAGAAGGCGAATGGTATGTTAGTAATACATTATTGAACCTCATCCTCTTTCTAGTTTCCTTCCTCCATCACGGCTTTCTCTCAAAACGACTCAGGATTCTTTGAAGACTTTACTAGCTGTCGCAAGCGAAATAGATGGATGTGGAACCAAAAGCAACCTACTCGAAATCAAAGACACTACTTCAAAAGACGGCCAAGTAAAACGAATCCACTTGGGATACACCACCTTCAGTATCAGAAGCATGTGTTCCTTCCGAAGCACCATGGGAGACCTAAGCCCAATCGAACAGTGGTGGAAGTTCTTTGCAGGCGACTTCACGTACTCTGTGTTTCCATGGTGTTCAATAAGCTGAATTCCCTACTGCGTGCTTCTCTGAATAAGTACGTCGCTTCTCGGAAATAAAGTGCGGTGAAGTTTTTTAAAGCCATATAAGTTGTAATTTTTCTAACCAAAAGTCGTCATATTGCTTAAAATTGTTGCTTTTTGGCTTTACAATTCTACTTGAGGTAAACAATTGTACTTTTTGGTCTTGGAGTGTGTTTACTCCTCCATTCCATTCCCTGCCAATGCTTTCTTCTGCTTCATCAACGTTGTCACAAACTGCTTCCTGTCAACTTTTAGGGAGTTCTCGGGGAGGGGAATACGAGTAAAGGTGTACAATCTCATACCCTCCTCGAAATCGCTCGTTTCGAATGCACTTTTGGATTTGCTTCATGCGAGATTCATGAAGACGAAGAGGGAAGTAAGTGAGATCAAAAAGCATTCTGTTGATTGCATTTTCCCTACCATTGCTTTTAGCACCTACATTTTCACATAAATTGTTTAGAAATTTTGCTTGATTACAAATTTGCGTGTAGTATTGTTTATGTGCCTCCTTAACATAGGAATGCGACCGCACAACATCAACCCAGCACCAATTTTGGGATTTTTGAGTAAGGCGACAAGGTTTTACTCCTTTACATGGGAATTAAAAGCTGCTCCTACTGATTGACTAAGCTTTGCATAGATCTTTCGTGATGTGCTGTATTGTGAGTTTATGCCAATTTCCTGCGTCCACAAGTAATCTTACTGTCATGCGTCATCAGTGAGATGCAGCAGGAGAGGAGAGACGTTGTCTGACGTTGGATAGAGTGCTGACACTGGGACGTCTTCAGGTATAGGGGTGAAATTCAACACCTCAGCCTTTCTACCCCCCTAAACAGGAGCAATGGAACAGAAAAATGCCAAAACACTTCTAACGGTCCATTTCCTGGGTGATAATTCAACTACTGACGGGTTCTTTTAGAGAAGTCAGCAATAAACGCTCTTGATATGGCAATAAAAGGGCAATGAAGCAGAAGGATCTAGATTTTTCAGTTATTAAATTATCTTTATTGCGGTGGATTTTGACTACCGTGTCATTAAATTATCAGTCGAGCGATTCATCTCCACAGGCTCCTCACATGCGCCAGTGGAGCTCCATCGCACTACCACCAGAAACAAGTGACCTTCCACTGGTAGCAGTGGAGGCGGTCTACACTGCCCAAGTAGACTTCAACAACCACTGAGAGGAAGGACATTTGTGATTACGTTTGCAGCAGACCTGTTGTGGATGCAGTTGGTGAGTGCACCTCCAATGGTGCATCCACGCACACCTCCATTGTGATGATTTGTGAGGCAGACTAAACCACGGTTGACATTCCACAGACAGACAGACGCACCTCCAACGATGGTTGAGTGGTGGTAGGATAGGCGAGAGAGAAGAGGGTGAAATGGTTCGTTGATGAGTGACGGAACCTCAACAACTGTCCATTGATGTCGCACTCACGTGATGGCTCACCAATCAACCGAATGATGTGGTGCTACGTAGCGTGGAAGGTGTGGTGGCAAGGCGATCACATG